AAAAAAAAAAAAAAAAAAAAAAAAAATTGGAACTAAAAAGACATACAACATTACCATTATATAAATTTTAATATTTTAAATAATTCAAAATAAAATATTAAAGTACCCTACAATTTGTATATTTCAATATTATTATCTATTTTAATGACTTAAAATGTTTTATTATCAATGCATAATTATTCATCTATCAACTGCAAACACATTAAGTTGTATATATGTCAAGATCTCATGATTAATCAATCACATGCCATACAATTTATGTCAATTTTATTAATACTCGTCATGGGTAGGAGAGTGATAATACTTTTCATTATCTTAGATCAAATGATTTATTATAATTCCATCTCTTAGTTGATTTTATTATTGACTCAAATTTTTATTGGCAATAATTTTATAATCTAACAATTATTATAACATCATGCAAAGTAATGATAAATTTATTTAAAATTACAACAGATAAATAATGCAATAAGAAACTATGATATGAAAGGAGAAAAAAAATCTATCTATATATATATAATTGCTAGCATGTAGCATTTAATAAAACTTATTTAATAAAACTTTTAATATTTTCCCTCCATTTTCGGTTACAAAATTTACTATTAATATTTTTTTACTTTTCATTAATATATCCTATTAAGTGTAATCATGTATTTTTTCTATTATATTATATAATAGTTATTGCCAATACCAACTAATAATAATTCACAATAAATATAAATTACATAATTATATATAATTGTTTCAAGTTATCTATATTAACATCAATTTATCTTTTTCTTCGTATCTCATGAAAAAATTTCTTTAAATACAATTAGTAAATTGTTTTAATATCATAGTCAAACGACTTTAGAATTAATCTTATAAACAATTGTTTTTAATAATAATAATAATAACAATTATAATAATAATAATAATCAAACTGTTATTATCTAATGATAATAAACAATTGTTCATAATGATGAAACCGTTAATTTATTTTTCCTATTGATCAAATTTTTGAAAATGTAATATGTTCATTATCTAGAATTTTAATATCAAATTCTTAAATATTACTTATAATATTTTATGTACATCTGTGCATGTGCACAGAGTATCAACTAGTTTAATAAAAAACTTCATTTATAAATTATTTTTGTAAAATTACTCAATTTATACATACTTGTTTAACGTAAAAAAAATACTTATTTTTTAAAAAATTATGTAATAAAAATATAATATTCCAGGTGGGGCCCCGGAGGGGCTATGAATCCGTCCCTGAATGTACTAGGCTGCTCGATTGCAAGGAGGTCGTCAGGGACATTTTTGTCTTTTAACTTTGATCATCCACTCATGATAAAATTAATCATCCGATGCCTCAATAATAGGTTTAAATCCCCCATAATGCCCCACTCATGTCTAAAAAATTGTATTCTTCAATGCAAACGAAAGTAGATTGAGTCATGCTGATGTGACAGTAAAAAAAAAAAGACTATGTCTATCATTAAGTCTATCCTTTAGTCTATTTTAGACAGCAAAACTTGAATTTACTATAAGTCACATAAACAAAACTAAACCCAATACATTATAGATGCTCTATTAAGACAAATGCTGGAGTAAGGAAGAATTATATGCAATATCCCACTAAATCAAGGAAACAAACGAGACCTTGGAATGACATGTAAATAAATGATTTATCATACTTGACGTATATTTATAATTAATAGCATATCTTTAATTATTAATAATTTGGAAACATCTATATATATATAATTACTGGCTAATGAGCATTTAATAAAACCTATTAAATTATACCTAGGTGGCAATATAATTTTTTCCCTCCAAAAGCCGTTACTTTTTATTCATTTAACTTCTCATTTAATTATTAGGTAATCAATACACTAATTACTTTAAAATTACAAAAGTCATTTTAAATTTTCTAATTACTCACAGTTGACCATATAATGTGTTGACTATTTAATGTGAGTAGATGTTATTGTTGTGGTTACATTTAAATTAACTTCTTTCGGAAAATTAAAAAAACATATTTGAAATTCCTAAATAAATAATACGTAATTCACAAAAAAAATATACATACCAAAATATTCATTATATCCAATATGATAAATGCAATTTAAAAAATTTAAATATTTCAGCTCCTTTAATTGTAAATTTAACAAAAATTATTAATCATTATATGTATACAAATAACTCACAATATTTTATTTATATATTTGTGCAAATGCACAGGTTAATACTAGTTTGGTTTGATTATGCCCTTCACATATACTGAGTTAGTGCGGACCGGGTCAATTTCCGACCAGGTCTCGAAACATTAACGACCACATTATTCACACTACTTTGAATTGACTTGCAAAAAAAAAAAAAAAAGTCATCGTTTGGAGTCACGTTTTTTTCTTCTTTCTTTATTATTATTATTATTATTATTATTATTATTATTATTATTATTATTATTATTATTATTATTATTATTATTATTATTATTATTATTATTATTATTAACTCACCATATATTATTGAATATCAATCATTTTTAGACTTGCAAGGGATATAAAACAAATGTTACATTCAAATTTGATGATAGAATATAAAGCTTACAAAAACCTATCAACATATTATATATTTGTCTGTATATTCAACTTTGATGATAGAAAGTTTACAATCAATCCATGCTCAAAGTCGTAACATATGTACAAAGCAAAACAATATAACAGCTGGTGTCCAAGCATTTCCTAGGCAGACCTTACTGTAAGAACTGTAAGGAGTTCATATCTACCATTTTTCCAAGACTCGATGTAAAATAAAAAATAAACAAAGAAAAAAAAAGGAAAAAATACAAAACCTCTAGCTTAAACGATATCCACAGAGGCAACCGATTTCACGGATACTGATCTCGTCGAGCCTTCTTTTGCAGCGGATGAAGAATTTAACGATCTTTGTGATCCTTCTTTTGGTGCCGAACAATTGATGGATCTCGACGAACCATCTTTTCCCTTAGAATATGCTATCAAGTCCTTTACGACCTGCCGGTATCGCCTTCTATGAGTCGGAAACTTTGATACGCTTCTATTCATCCCCATCATCCTAAAACCGAAAACATAAATATAAGCATATATAATATATAACAAAATACAATAAATAAATATTTTCAGTTTTCTTTTTTTTTTTTTTTTCTCACAAATGCTCTCACCTTCGACTAATGCCTTCAATCTGAGCTGCTCTGAGAGCATCCTCGATTGCAAAATCCTCGTTTTCCCAAGCTTTAGCACGTTCCTTGTCATTCCCAAAGAGCAACACTTTCTGAAGGTACCGAATCTCACCTTCCTCCAGCCGTAAGGCCCTAACTTGTTCCTTTAGGACCAAAACCGGGTTAAAGAACCAGTCCATGAGCCTGTCTTGGGGCCGGTTCAGGTGGTTCACCTCTGTCCCATCAAGCAGGACTAAGCCGGTGGACCCCACTTTGATGGAGTCGAGTAGCGTGTGAAGAAAAGAGTAGCAAGGAAGTCCCACGTCGATAATGTGCGGGCCGCTCGAGTGCTTTGCTTTCAGCCAATCACAGAGGTCGGCATGCGAAATTACGTTCTCGTCCAGCAGCTCTTTTCCCCTTACTTCGCATGCCTTCATCGTGCTTCCCCATATCTAAAGCAATATGTAATATATGTAAAGATAAAAACTCACTATATGATGATATATATATATATAATATATATGGTATATGAAAGGTATGCGTACTTGCACCATTTTCACCTCCTTCATAACCTCCCTGACGGACCTTGATGCCGTTAGGCGAGGAACAATCATTCCGGGACTTTCTGTAGCGGCATAGCCTAATCTCTCGTGTACGGATTGGTTTCGAGGGACAGTAAGTTCGGACGAGTTGGACGGTTTTCTCTTCCTATAACGGGGCCTAGCCCGTAAAATGACTTAATTAGTGTGATGGAAGATGGAAAGTAAAAAAATTATTTTAAAAATTACTATTAAAATAAAATTTGAGAAAACAGAAAGAAATTGTCGATTACTTCGGTAGGATCGAGCCCTCACGAAGATAAAGCCAATCGTTTGTGTACTCATCAAACTCTGCCACCATTGCAATCACATAAGCTACACCTCGTCTGAAGGACCTTTCCTGCATCAAAATAAAGATGGGCATATTGATTGATGTAAAATGTATAGACATTAGACAGAGAAATGTTTTTGGATCCATTTGTATTTTTTTGCCTAAAAGAAAAGTAATAAGTTGTTCAAACTCTCCTTACATATCTTTGAAAAACTTTAAGAAATGAATTGGTCACAAGACATAAAGAAGAGGGCTGACAACTGAAAATCAGAAGTAGCGAAAAAAAAAAGAAAAAAAAAAGAAATTGTACGGAAGATATAGGTGAAATATGTTTTTTTGCGCAGACTAATGACAAAAAAAAAAAAAAAATCGACAAGAGCATGGTTTTGTTTGTGACCTGATATACTACTATAGATCCATATAATCCGATGAAAAAGCTCGTAAATATAGCCAACAAGATGCTTCCAATAACGATGAGCGGCCACATAAGAATCGTCAAACCAGCAATGGGAATGCAGGCAGTTTCCAAAAACGGACCCTCACGACTGATCAGATCGTGCAGTAGCCTATGCCAGCCTTTGAACAACATGTATGGGCTTTTTACAATGGCAATGGCCGTGTAAAGTGGGATCTCAACAATCAGGCCGAGTAGGCCAACAATAATGCATGCAGGCACGTGAATAAATCTGGCAAACAGTTCCCATTAAATTTGCATTATTGATCGGGCTAAAAAAAATTCAATTTCCAAGAAAACGAACTTAACATCATAATATTTTGAAATTGTAGCAATTCTTAGACTAAACTCATGAAGACACACAGTAAAGTGCATACCTAAGAGGTTGAAGCTCATTAGAGGCAGTGTTTTCACGCAGCTCCTTTAAATAGAGTGGATAAGAATGATAGCACAAGTCGGCAAAATCACGAACCACGGTACAACTACCCTTAATAGTGCCCCATGTACCATCCTAAAATATTCACATGCCACGACAAAAAGAAACAATGAGCAAAATCGTATATCACAACACACTTAGAGACAAAATTCCGAATTCATTTATATAAAAACAAATATTGCTTCATTACATAGTATCATTGAACCAAATGCAAAGACACTTGCATTTACAGAATAAATATATATAGAGAAAGACTAAATTACCACAACGCAATGGTGGAATTTCCCCAATGCATCTTCGAGTCTGAAGGCCTCGAAAGACGAAACCCAAGGAGTGAAAAAACCATATCCAAGACCCACGAGACAACTACCGGCTATACTAAGAGCCAACCAAAGGCCAAATAAAGCAGGCAAGCCAAACAAGATTGCAACTTTAAGGGGTGCATCAAACTTATTTGTTCTGTTAACCAAACAAACAAATCGTTCAAGGCACATCGGATCAGACCCATGTTCAAAGAATATCAAATAATCAAATAATTGCGAAAATTAAACCGACCGGCTGTTAGCGAATCACTATAGCTCAATTCTTGAATACAGACTCAAAAAAGTAGAAATTACTTGATAAGGGTATAGACCGTCCATGCAACATGTGCAGGAAAGAGCCCCAAAATCACAGATAAATTCCCTAAAATCAGAATCAAAGCAGCAATCGGACCAACAATCAAACCTGCAACGTTAAAGGCACGAGAATCAGACAACAAAAAACAAACGAAAATCGGTACAAGACAGCTAAAACACAGTAATAATTCTTTCATATGCAAGAAAAAAAGGCTCAAAATACCTACTTTTAAGGGCACCAAAACAGAGCACAGCACAAAATGCAAGAACCACAGAGAGGGTTTTGACCCAAACCTTGAAGCTATTACTGGGCATGTTTGAATTTTCAAGAAACTCAGCAAATTGGGAGCAAGAAAATATTGTTCAACAGATGATGATATCAAAGAAGAAAAAAAAAAAGAAAAAAAAAAAACCAGTAAATTTGAAACGAAGAAAACCCCAAATAAGTCAGGAGGAAGATGAGAAAAACGAAACGTCAGAAGTTTCCATTGAAAAGACAGCAAAGAAGGAGGGCCCCAACTGCAAATAAACAAACAATTACGCCACCAAAAGTGAAATATTTTTAAACGGTTTTTGGGCACTGGTGTTATTTTTTCAATTCAACCATGAAGAATTGAACGTGAGAAGGATGACTATTCAATGTTTCGATCAATATTTATTTTGGAATGAGCTGACTTTTCTTCAGTTCTAAACTAAAGATTTTTTATTTTTTCATTTTTGTAAATAAAAATTTTCCGGCACTAGCTGTAGGCTTTCCAGTAGTCAAAATTCAACTTCAACTCGAAAAAGCTGTAATTTTTGTTTGTTTAATATTGATTTAGATGAATTGAATTCGTTCTTTAATTATAATATATATGGGCTACGGGTAGAGGTAGCATTCGTAGACTTGTCAAAATGGGCCGTCGGGACGGGCCAGCCCGCAGCCCGCAGAAACCCACCCTTTGGCGGGGCGGGGCGGTCCTTCAAAATGTCAGCCTCCGTCCCGCCACGGGCCGCGGGCTAGGCGAGCTGGCCTGTTAAAAAAAAAGAAAAGAAAAGCAAGAAAAAAGAAAAACAGCAACAAACCAATCTGTCGTCTCTCCATAGATTGCGCCTAATTCATCCGTCAAAATTCTGAAGCGCCTAATTCATCCACAAAAACCGCTACTACCCATCTCCCCCCAACTTTCTCTTTCCTCATCCTCCTCCAGCCACGACCACAAGCACGACGATATCCCCACGCCTCTCGATCGATTGCGACAAGCCACCGCACGCTGCGAGCCACTTCAGAGTCAGACTCGCGGAGATCCACGGAGCCACGAGACAGTCGTTGGAATCTGGAGTCCCCGGCACCCGGAGCGCGACGTGTTATCGGACATCCCATTCTTTGTGCTCGACTCGTACGGGTCCCACAGGAAGAACAATCGGCCGATTGCTCAAAAGTAAAGTGAATATAGGGCTAGAGAATGGAGAATTGGAGATGATGATTATTGAGGAGAACGATCAGCCCCTTTCTGCCGTGATGGAGAATTGAAATTGAAAATGGGCCTTTTAGTTTATGTTTATCTAATGGGCTGAAGCCTAATTTTATTTTTTTGGATTGGGTTAAATAATTGATCTGTTTATATATATGGGAAATTTTCATTTATACTTATTGATTTTTAAGTAATTGTAATTTTACCATTAAAACCAATAAATTTATGTATATGCCTAAGAGATAAAAAGTAATTATATTGATGCCTAAGCATCTTCTCTCTCTCCTCGTAATTCATGCTTTCAGTTATCTTATCAAACCAAACCATCTTCTCTCTCCACCGTGAATTACGCATGTTGTTATAAAAAAAAAAATCCTATTTTAATTTCGCATGACAGCATGTTGTTACAATAACAATACAATGTTATGTAACCAGACATATAACCCAACATATATACCAGAAATATACCAGAAACAGAACATAACCAGACATGTAACCCTACATATATACCCGACATATACCAAAACTGAACAATGTTCTGTAACCGAGCATATAACC